CCCTGGCTGAAGGCCCTCCTACCTGCCCGAGGGGAAAGGCGGAAGTTCTGGCAGTTAAAGAGGCCAGAAAGGAGAGGGCAAGCAGTCCTCGGTCCGTTGGACGCACCAGTGTTGCGAGTCCAATCTCTGAGAATCTGAGAGACCTAATTAATCTTTTAGACTCTGTCTTTTTTACTCATCAGCCCACCTGAGATGATTGCCAGCAGTTGCTTAAGTGCTCTTCACAATGAGAGGAAACAAAAGGATTCAGGGGAGGCACGGAAGCTGGTTCCGGGGAGAAGGCGACCTATACAAACCCACAATCCAAACCAACTTTTCCCCTCGAACACCCGCTTTGGGACTACAATGAGGCTGAAGGTAGGGAGCGTCTCCGGGTCTACTGCCAGACTCTGATGCGTCTCCATATATGCGGCGCGAAAGCCGACCAAATTTGGCCAAGGTAGGAGATGTTCGTCAGGGTCCGAGAGCCCGGCAGCATGCTTAAGAGGATCATAGAGGCCTTCCGGCAGTACACCCACAGACCCACAGATGGAGAGAATAAGCCGCTGTTATGATGGCGTTTGTCAATCAGCAGGCCCCCGACATTAGGCGCAAGGTGCAGAGAATAGATAGATCAGGCGAGAAGACTCTGCAGGACCTGTTAAAGTGGTGGAGAAGTTATAACAATAGAGAGACCCAGAAGAAGGTTAGAGAGGATCAGGATAGAAGATAGGAAATTCCAAGCTGGGGAACGCACGGAAAGCAAACAGAGAGATGGCTAAAATCCTGCTAGCCGCCACAAGGGGGGAGATAGGGTCAGAGAATAGGGAAATGCCCGCGGGAGAGCTAGGAAGGATCAATGTGCCAATTGCAAGGAGCATGGGCGATTGGGCCAAGAGTGCCCCAAAAGAAAAGGGGGCCGAAGACTGGAGGTCTGAAAAAGTCATGGTTCAGGACAGGTGACAGATGAATAGAGGAAGACAGGGTTCCTCCCCCTCCCCGAACCTAGGGTAAACTTTGCAAGTGAAGGGGACCAGTCAGCTTCCTCATAGATACAGGAGCAAATTTGGTACTAACGGAAGACACAGAAATTGTCCAGTAAGACCAGTTGGGTGCAGGGGCAACAGGAAGCCAAACTGTATCGGTGGATACACGGCGGAGATTGGATTTGGGTTCAGGACAAATGAGTCACGCCTTTATGGTCATCATGAGTGTCCACGCCGCTACTGGGAAGAGACCATCCTTACCAAGCTAAGCTAAGGCTCAAATTCATTTTGAAGAAGAGGAGTTAATAACTGATAGACAATTCAATCAACAGCCCCTGGGTCACTCAGATCCTGACCCTGACAAGCAGATGAATAGACTGTACTAGCCCACAAAAAGCAGAGAGGAAGGCATGGAACAATGGCTCTGTGAATTTCCCATAGCATGGCCGAGACAGGGGGCACAGGATGGGCAAAACACGGCGCCTCTTTACGTTGAGTTAAACCCGGAGCCGAGCCAGCCCGGTCAGACAGTACCCCATGCCAGGAAGCCAGAGTGGAATTACGCGCCAACATTCAGAGACTCCTGGACAGTGGATTCTCCGAAAATGCCAGTCGGCCTGGAACACCCCCCTGTTGCGGTGAAGAAACCGGGGTGGGTGGGTGGTAAGGACTATAGGCCTGTGCAAGACTCAGGGAAGTCATGCAAGGGGCCTGGATATCCACCCCACAGTCCCTAACCTCTATACTCTGTTGACTCTCTCTCTCCCACGCTGTCTTGGTATACCGTCCTAACCTAAAGGATGCTTCTTTAGCCCTGGCGGTGGTGACCACAGCCAGATTTTCGCCTTTGAGTGGCGGGACCAGGAGAGAGGAATCATGAGACGAGACTGCCCCAGGGGTTTAAAAACCCTACCCTGTTCAACGAGAGCCCTCCATGAGACCTTGGTGAGTACCCAAACTAATCACCCAGAGGTGACTCTGCTGAGTATGTGGATGACTTCTGCTGTTAGCTGCACCTAACCCCCAGGCCTGCCTAAGAGGCAACCAAAAACTTATTCAAAATATTAGGCGAGTTGGGGTACCAAGCCAGTGCAAAGAAGGCTCAAATTTGCTAGGATGACATCACCTATTTGGGATATAAAAAACAGGTGGCCTAAACCGAGGCAATGAAGCAGATGTGTTAAAGATACCCACATTCAGCCTCCAGCGAGAACTGAGGGAATTCTCCTGGGTCGTGTTCCTGCACCTCTGGATCCAGGTTCTGCGGAAAGGCTCGACCTCTGTATGAAGGGTGTAAGGCGGCGAGCATGGGAGTGGACTGTGCAAATGGAAGAGCTTTTCAGGCCTGAGGGCAGCATGCTGGAAGCCCTGGCCCTAGCACTCCCTGATCCTACAAGAAGTTCACCTGTTCATATAGCGAGAAGAGGGGAATAGCCAACGGGGGTACACACAGGCCCTGGTGACCGCTGGAAGAGGACGGGGACTTTCAAAAAAGAAAAAAACTAGGATTCCGTCTCTGAGTGGCGGCGGTGCCGCATGCTTGCGAAATCATGCAGCCACGCCCTGTTGGTCAGAGACGCGTGATCTAGTCTCACCCTACGGCAGCTGGCTGCAGATCACCACCCGCACGCCATAGAGGGGTTTGCTGAAGCAGCCACCAGCGATGATGGATCACAAATGTGAGCTACATTACAGAGGCTCTTGCGGACACACCCGCATGAGTTCCAGACCCTGCCGCTTAAATCGCTTACGTTCTGGCCAACCCCGCTGCAGCCGCATCTTGAACAGATGCCTTGAGATCCTAGCCGAGACCCCACTGCTCTTAAGGTCGATAGAATAGTAGTGACCTGGATACACCACTCCCACGTGAGACCTGCTAATAAAAAAGACCAGGAGCGGTGCCAGGACCAGTGGAAATCGACTGCAGACTCGAAGAATCCTCTGAAGAGCAGACTGACCCATGTGGCAGCGACAGCCCAGGACTGCTGACCCAGACTTGGACTGGGGTTGTGGCATCTAAAGATTAACTGGGTGACAAACCTGGACGGGTCGCGGTGGGGGTTGGTTGTGAAGGGCAGAGGAAGGGCAGAGGAATTTGTAGGGCAGAGGAAGGGCAGAGGAATTCTTCCAATTGTCGGGAATTTACTTGGGTGGGGCAATGAGCTAACCGCAAACCTTTGCTTCTGGTCATTGCTTGCTTGCTACACCGCTGTATGGGGAATTATGGGATGAGGTCATTGAAGCACGGGCGACTGGCCCATGGCAATAGAGGGCAACCAAGCTGCCAATTATTTCAAAAGGCAGTAGTGGGCAACCAATCATTTTAAAGGTCAACGCATGATCTATGCGTAGTCACCTTGTGTGCAGCTTGTGCACCATAGGGATAAAAGGCATGCCGTTGTTCTGGTCGGGGTCCTTGCCTGCGAGAGTGGCCACTGCGTTGGGTGCTCTGGGGCTTGGACCCTGGCTAGCCAGAAAATAAACCTCCTCTTGTGTGATTGCAAAAAAGAATAAATAAATAAAAAAAAATAGGCACATTGAGAGAAGTGGCACTTGCATCATTGTCCAAAGTCAGACAAAGATAGGGTTGGTATAAACCCAACTCCTTTCAACAACCTGACCACAGACTCCATCAGAGCCCATGTTGCTTTAGATAAGACATACAGGTCCTTTTCATTATGTTGAGTGAAATAGCCAGGAATGAAAGACAAATACCACATGATCTCACTTATAGATGGAATCTAAAAAAGATGAACTCATAGAAAAGAGTAGTAGGTGGTGGTTATCAGATGCAGGGGTGAGGCAGGTAGGAAATGGGGAGGGAGACGTTAGTCTTAGGGTACAAAGTTTCAATTAGACAGAAGGAATAATTGTTTTTTGGGTTGTTTTTTTGTTTTGTTTTGTTTTTTGAGATAGGGTCTTGCTCTGTTGCCTGGGCTAGAGTGCAATAGTATCATCACAGCTCCCTGCAACCTCAAACTCCTGGGTTCAAGCATTCGTTCCACTTCAGCCTCCCAAGAGGCTAGGACTACAAGTGTGTGTCATCATTCCTGGCTAATTTTTCTATTTTTTGTAAAGACAGGGTCTCGCTATGTTGC